TTGCCTGGGTTGGCAAATGACACATCCTTCCTGGCCTGCGAAAGGTGATAGATTACAGTATCTATACGGAAGAGAACGGTACAGTCTCCACCATAGAGCTGATGATTCCTAGAGCAAGTTGTAACATAATTATCCGAAAAAAACGTTTTAAATCCCCATGCAGTTTTGGATATGATGCCTTCTGTCAGAGGTTGGGACCTAGAAGTAGGTTAGATCCTGATTAGATGAATCTTCTGTAGCTTTTTGGCAACCTCTTCTTTTCTTTTCCTCCTACCTGTTTGGTGGCAAATGGCTTGGAGGTGCTCTGACCTTTACCTCTTTCTTTTAATATATAACACAGCCATGTCTTTTATGAAAACAAATTTGAAGGTATGAGTGAACCTCATTTATTCTTTCAAAAGGTATTTATTGAACACCTCCTATATTGTATTATAATGTTGAAATTCAGTCTAAATTAGATCATGAGCTCTGTGGGAATAAGACCGATACTTCAGTTATCTCTTGAATCCTTGGGACTCCGCACAGGATCCAAGATAAAGCACATGGTTAAATGCTTATCGAAAAGAATTATGGATGGGCAAATGTGGGCCCCCAAAGGATAGCACTTGGTGGACGGGCTTCTGTGCCCACCAGTGTATCCCAGAAGCATGAGACTGGACTTCTGATCATGGTCCCTAACGGCAACAAGAACCATCCTGTGCCTGATATTAGCTAATGTGTGTGCAGGTTTATACGAGTTGCGGTGAGGAAAGGGCTTATGAACAGCAGCTCTGGACCAGAGTGCCAAGGTTGGAATCCTGCCTCTGCCATTTAATGATCAGTGACTGGGGCAGGTTATTTGATCCTTGTGCCACAGTTACCTCACCTATCGAATGGGGATGCCAGCAGTACTGATCTCATAAGCATTGCTGGGAGGATTTAATGCGTTGCTAACAAATAAAACACCACGGGCCTGGCGCAGGTAGATGTCAGCAAGTTCTTTAGTTGTTCCATGTAGTCCTAAAGTTTGTGAATTAGAAAGCATACCCAGTGTAGACGCTTAAAAAGAATGGAATAGCAATAGAAAATACAATATTCTATTCCCATACTCCATTGGCTTGTCTTAAGCACTCCATTTCAATCACCACTGGCCTGGAGTATCATAGTCCTGGGGAAGCCAAGTAAATTCTTGCCCCCCCCCCGCCCTGCTCCATACTCCCCCCTCCCCCGCTATTGCACACCTCATCCTGGGATGACCAGGATTCACAATCACTGCATCTCTGTGTTTGCACCCAGGTTCTTTTGTCTCTTGTTAGCTCCTGTCATTTAAAGTTACATTTCTGCCCCTTTCTTTTTAAAATAAAGAGTCTGGGATACTTAGGATGGAGTAGGGTCAGGTGCCCAGTAGAGGAGGAGGCAGGAGAGCTGTTCAGGGGCCACCGGACCCAAGCCCCTCACCCCACCTCTCGGAAGCTCTTAGGGCTGGGCTGCTTCTCCAGCCAGAGCCTTCCCGAAGGGCAGCGCCTTGCACGCTGCATGTAAGACTCCTTGTCCCATAGGGCCTGGGGTTCCCAGCTCCTCTGGCATTGTCTGGAGTGTCCTTTCTGGTCCCTCCAGGCAGTCAGGGTGACAAGATATTGGGGTGAGGAGGATGTACCGCTAAAGCCTCTAAAGTCACAGGAACGAAGGCAGGATCTAGGTTACAGCTGCATCCAGGCCTGGCCCCAGATTCTGTTACTTCCTTTTTAATAAATCATCTTGTGGCTTTGAAGGGAACTCCTTGTGGTGTTTGCAGTAAGACTGTAATTTGGAAAAGCTTACCGCCATGAAAATCATCTCGATCATGGTTTTTGGGCATTGATCTCTGTCAGGCACTATGCCAAATACATTTCATATGTTAATATCTCATTCAACCTTCTCAGCCACCCAGGGAGGGAAGGGATAACTAGTGTTGACACAGTTTTTCAGATGAGCTTAAACAGAGCCACGATTTGAACCCAGGCCCTGCCCACAAAGTCTGTGCTCTTTACCACCAGATTTCCACAGCCTCCGCCCAGGCCTGCCCCACCTCATGGCAGAGTGGGGAATAAATATTTATGAAAGGACTTTGTGAGGTCCCGTGCCTTATAAATGAGCTGTTATTGTAGCATCATAGAATCCCAGTTGGCAGTAATAAGAGCTAGTATTATACTGAGTGCTTACTCTCCACCAAAGACTTTACACACATCCTTTTGTTTCGGTCTCATGACTACCTGCAAGGTGGATAATTTTGCAGATAACAAGGAAACTGGGAATCAGGAAAGTTAGGCTCCTTGCAGGGGTGCACAGCTCATGGATGGTACAATGGGACTTAGAGCCAGGTCTGTTCACTTCCAGAACTCTGGCCTTAACTTCACCCAGATATTACCCCACCTCCCTGAAGCTTGAGGGACCTCAGAAGCCTACTAGAGATGAGGGTGCTGAAGTAAAAGGATTTTCCCTAAATCCTAAAACTAGCTGGTAATAGAGCTGGAGCTAAAAGTCCCCGGGGTTGACTTGGTTGATGGTAGGAGGCAAAAAATAAAAAAATAAGTAAAAATGAAAACACACACAGATCTGTGGTCTACTTAAATAATAGCATGTCGTGGAAGTGGTCATACACATTCATTCTGCAACAAATGTCTGTCGGTACCTCTTGCCCACCAGGCAGAGTGGGGGTGCTGTGCACGCAGAGGCAGCAAGCCCCGTGCAGCCTGGCTGGCGCGGGTGCTGTCGTGACGGGTGCACGGTGCATGAGGGATGCAGACACAACACAGGGCAGGAGGTCCCGGGTGCTGCAGCAGCACGTGGGCCAGGGGCCCCCAGTGTCTTTCGTGAGCAGTGGTGGACACTCCAGGAGAAGGGAAGGGGGGGCACTGAATGCTTGATGACCTGAGAAAGGGTGTTTAAACTGGTATGTTGAGGTAGGGTGAGGACCATGGAAGCATTTGAGTGTCAGTGGATCAGACTGACCATCTAGAATGTGCCTTTTGGTCACAGAACCACAACTGGGTAGGGGCCGGGGCGGGGGGGGGCAGGTGGGTGGTTGGGAGCTGTTCACAGGCAGTCCAGGAAGAGATGATGGTAACAGGCAACGCGGCGCACTCTGGCGAGTTGGAGCCAGTGCCTCAGTTTCTCCTTCTAGCGCTGCAGGATGGAGTTCTGACAGCACCTTGTTACATGAGTATTGATAGGTAGGAACTTTGCATTGTAGCTATTGTTCCAAATCTCTGGGATTCACTAAGCGTCCCACAGATCAGGGTGCCTAGGTGGCTCAGGTGCCTAGGTGGTTTAGGCGTCCAACTCTTGGTTTCCACTCAGGTTATGATCTCATGGGTCGTGAGATCGAGCCCTGTGTTGGGCTCCATGCTCAGCAGGGAGTCTGCTTGAAGATTCTCTCCCTCTGCCCCTCCCCGCACTAGCATTCTCACTCGCTTTCTCTTCTCTCTCAAATAATTAACTTTTTAAAAAAATCCCACAGATCACCAGAACAAGCCCTCACTCACTTTAGGACTTCCATGAAGGCAGTTTATAGAAGTTTTTTTTTTTTTTTCCCCCCAAGATCTACATAAAGATTATTTTCCTAGCAGCTGTGTCATTTCCCCCTGACAGTACGTTGATGTGCCAGTGAGCTCACCAAGTATACTGACGGAACGTGTGTTAGTTCAGATCTGCTCCACACTGGGTAAGAGGCAGATGATTTAGGACTGCGCTTGCAGATTATCTTTGCCCTATTCCTCACCACACTCCCTGCTCCCCTTTTGGCTAATACAGCTGTCCCCTAATGGGCTTGGTGTGTGTGTAAGGCTCCCTCAACCCCTTAGACTGGACCTGGTGGGCTTTAGCTCATGTTCTGTGCTTGCTCAAGAAGAGGGTCCCATGAGAAGCATCACAGGCCAGATACCACCAAATGAGCCAAGCAGGTAATATCTTTAAACCATCAGGGAAAATCCCTGTCTGCTGCAATCTCGGGTATACCCAAGAAAGAACCTGGATAGAAATCAAGTGTGGTTATTTTATTTTATTATTTTTAAAGATTTTATTTATTTATTTTAGAGCGCACGCATGCATGCGGGGTAAGGGACAAAGGCAGAGAATTTTTTTTTTCCTTAAGATTTTATTTATTTGACCGAGAGAGACACAGCGAGAGAGGGAACACAAGCAGGCGGAGTGGGAGAGGGAGAAGCAGGCTTCCCACCGAGCAGGGAGCCCGATGTGGGGCTCGATCCCAGGAGCCTGGGATCATGACCTGAGCCGAAGGCAGACGCTTAACGACTGAGCGACCCAGGAGGCCAAAGGCAGAGGATCTTAAGCAGACTCCACAGTGAGCGTGGAGCCTGACAAGGGGCTCAATCCCACAACCAAGACCTTGACCTGAGCTGAAACCAAGAGTTGGACACCCAACCAACTGAGCCACCCAGGCACCCCAAGTGTGGTTATTTTAACCTCAAGAGAATGAAATGGCATCTCCTCTTTGCTCTGGAGCCCTAGAAAGATATACTAGGTCTCAGGGCATCCCACTTTGGGAATGATAGGACTTCATATTTGTGTGGGTAGATTAACTCTTAGCCTATCTGAAAATCAACCAGACCAGCAATTTTGGTTTTTTGTTTTTTTTTTTTAAGATTTTATTTATTTATTTGACAGAGTCCGCGAGAGAGGGAACACAAGCAGGGGGAGTGGGAGAGGGAGAAGCAGGCTTCCCGCCGAGCAGGGAGCCCGATGCGGGGCTCAATCCCAGGACCCCGGGATCATGACCTGAGCCGAAGGCAGACGCTTAACCGACTGAGCCACCCAGGCGCTCCTAGACCAGCAATTTTGTTAAGTGTCACATATTCTGTGAAAACTCTGTGATGTGAGAGCTGTTCCCTCTCTATATAAAAAATCAATAACCAACATAAGTTGTTTTTTACGCCGTAACACCTTTGTTGGCACATTCTTGTCACCACTAAATGTTGGGCTTTGGCTTTTTTTACCTCTTTTTTTCCTGCAAATATATTTAGGGTGAAGAAGCTGAAGGAGACCTTTGCTTTTATTCAGCAGTTAGACAAAAACATGAGCAACCTTCGTACCTGGTTGGCTCGAATCGAGTCAGAGCTTTCTAAGCCTGTCGTCTATGACGTCTGTGATGATCAAGAGATCCAGAAGAGGCTCGCCGAGCAGCAGGTGAGGACAGAAGGCTTTTGTAAGAGTATCGGCGTCTGTGATATCTGCCAACTCCAACCTTCCCCATATTAGCTGTGTCCTTTAGCATGTTCACATTTCATACCATTGGTTCGTTTTTTTCCAGAGAAAACTGGCCACCTGTCCACGTTCTTGTACGTGTGAGACCCTCTCTTGGCGTGCCTGTCTTCTGCCCCATTCACACATCTCTTTGTGAAATGCTTTGAATAATGTCTGAGATGTAGGTCTTAGTCTTAGTGGTAAATAAGGTGTTTTGCTTACGTATTTTTAAACTTGGATCTTTGTTTTAGAATATAGTTTTAGAAGGCAATGAATTGAAAGAAAAATAAATTTTCTAACCCAGGAAAGTTTTCATGGGACAGTAGATCATCTGATAGAGCTTCCAACAAAAACAAAGGGGGGGGCTGTAAAAAGGAACATGCTTAGGCCAATAGCATAGGAAACCCCTCTTGCAGTGCTCTGTACATTTCTCCCATCGGTTATGCACCCTCTGAGCCGACCCTGGAAGCTCCACAGCATGAAACCACTGAGTCCTACCAGTGTTACCATCACACTAATCTGGTGGGCGCTCATTGATGTCACAGACTTAGCAAATCCACTTTCCTGCCCTCCCATCAGCTCACATTCGCAGGTTCATTCTCATATGCAGTACCTGGAGCTTATCTTTATTTCTAAAATTAAGTTCATAGTAGCCTTTTGGTAGCTTTCCTTCACCTTCACGGTTTTTTCTTAGACCCAGGAGCAGATTCCACTTTGACTATATAAGCAATATGGTTGTCATGACGTTCTCAGATGCGTTATCTGTTTTCTTCACGTTATCTCCAAAGCCTTGGTGTTTGCTGTCTGTCAACACACAGGAAGGTTCACCCACGTGTAACAGCTGCTCTTAGAGAAAGAATTGGGGGCTGACCCTTTCTCACAGATTCAAGGGCAGAAGGTGATGATGAATTAATGACAAATTCCCTTGAGTTCAAGTCGATCTTTTTAATGGCAATGAGTGACATCCTCTGCTACCATAAAATAGAGCCAAGTATTTGATATTCCTCTTGACTTAGATCTTTATTCAGTCTATTGCTATTACTGTTTGTAAACGATGTCTATTCTCTGACTTTCAAATTAGTATGATTTAGCAATGCTTAAATGCTAAAGTAAAAATACTGGTATTGGCACTTGGCCGCAGAAATTTAAGTATGCCCTTTCTGTTGAGGTCATCACAATTCTGTCTTTGTTTTGTGGAAAAATGAATACTGATGTAAGTACCATGTTAATGGACATTGCAGAGATTTTAATGCCCTTCTCGGTGAAGTCAAAGCCACTGGACATTATCAGCTTTATTTGCAAGTTTGATCCACTAAGAAGAATTTCTTGAATAGTCTCTTTACAGACAGGCCTTAAAAATAACAATTTACCCTGAGTGGTGAGTTTTTTCAGGTAAATAGTACAGAAACAGTATATTTTTCCTCTTAAAGAAAGACTGGCTAAATTTGGCAGGGGCCAGTAACGTGTATTAACGTTTTATAAATCTAAGGTGTGCCAGAACATCATTAAATTGCAGGGCATGTATTCCCCAAAGGCTACAGTTTGGTGGCGCTGCCATCCTCCTGGCCTTGTTTGGTCCTGTTTTGAAATGGTCCATAATTTCACCTCTGGTTGATTTGAAGCTTCCCTCTTTATAGAACTTAGAATCACTATCCTGGAATTCTTACCTCATAGTAATCCACAGCGATTTAAGGAGTTGGTGTTCAGGACTACCATTACTGGTAAAGAAGTCAGATGTACAAGTTTTCTATGATTGCGTTAACAAATTAACGCAAATTTGGCAACTTCACCCAAATTTATTGTCTTACTGGAGTTCTGGAGGTCAGAAATCTGACCCCAGACTAAGATGAAGGTGTCAGGAGGGCTGCATTTCTTTCTGGCAGCCCTATTGGAGAATCTGTTTCTTCACCCTTTCTAGCTTCTGGAGGCTGCCGACATTGCTTGGCTCATGGCCCCTTCTTCCATCTGCAGAGCCAGCAACCTTGCATCTGTCTGTGCTTTTCTGTCATGGCCCCTTCTCCCTCTGACTGACTCTTCTACCTCCCTCTGCCACTTTTAAGGACCCTCGGGATCACGCTGAGCCCACCTGAATAATCCAGGATGTTAAGCTCAGCTGATAGGCTACATGCCAACAGAGAATTAAGGTTGCCAAACATATTCACAGGTTCTGGGGACAAGGATATGAACATCTTTGGGTGGCCAATATTCTACCTACCACAGATGTCCTGAGGAAACTTTCAGTATTTTTGTTTAAAAAAAAAATTTTTTTTAATACCCAGACCAGACCTTAAAGCCTCCATCAAAACCACAAAAAACAGAAATGTGTCACACACAAAAATTATGCACGAGCCATTAAAAAACAAAAAACAAAAAGACACCTTACTTGTGTTTCTATCACTAAGTTTCATGATTATTTACAGAAATAAGACTTAAAAACTTGGGATCACCTAGTAGTGCCTTCTGCAAAATCCCTCAGGCCCCGCAAGTGATGAGGAGCTGTGCTTCCCAGATCCTCATCGTGATGTTCTTGGTAGCACCCTAGGGAAGAAGTCAAGCTTAATCCTAACACCCTAGTCAAAGTTAATCCGAGTCCTTTTTGTTTCTCTTATGTAGAACTCCTTGGGTAATAAGGGTTATATTGTTATTTTTGTGAAATCTCTCATCTTCAAAATGCAAAAAGAAAGTGGTAGCAACCTTTGTAACACTTTTAAACCATGAACCACTTGCATTAAGACTTCCTGTTCTTTCTCTCCTGTTTTCTTTGGCTTCCTGGTTCCCTGTGGGTGCCATATGGTGACGTTGGGAGAGAATGCTGTTAGTTACCCCCCATTCTGTAATTACAAATAACCCCCTTCCCAGCAGGTGCGCTCAGCTTCATGCCAACCTCCTCATAAACCACTCTGCTCCCCAGGCTTGCCAGCCCAAGCCCCTCCCCCAGAGTCAATCTGGAGCCACCACCTCACCCACCTCAGGTGATTTTTCTGCCCACCCACCCTCTCCCCCTCAGCCCAGCTTGGCTTTCTTCTTTTCCCCCTTTATCTTGTTTTTTCTAGCTCCTTTTGTATTCTCCTCCTTCCTGGTTGCATTCTCCACCTCACCCTCTAGCTGTGGATCCTCCTCCTCCTCATTTGCCCCCCACCCCACCCCCAATGCCTACTCTTCCCAGTTTCAGAGCTCTTTGTCACCTACTCAGGAACAGAAACACAAAACACACGAGAGTCCGGGAGCCTGTTTCCAGAACCATGGCAAAAGTCTTTAACGTTTTTTTATGTTTCTTAAGTCCCATTCTTCAAATTGTACTTGAACAGTTCTTGAAATCTAATTATTGTGCATATTCCTGCCTCAGTGGGAACTAGTGGTGAGATGGTTTTCATAAAATGTCACTCATTTAGCACTTAAATGGTTTGCATTTTTAAATGTGGGTCACTACTTTGTATTTTACAAAGTAATCAGTACATGCTACAAAATCAGTGGGTCATTCTGCAGTGTTTGAAAAGTTTGTTTTGGAAATTTTGAAAATTTTTGAAATTTTTTTTAACCAAAATGTTGATGGTCTTTTATAAACTATCATAGAGCTCATTTCTTGCTCCCATTTGCCCTGTGTATTAATCAGTACTCAATAGCCATTTTGTTCAATATAAGCTGAACAAATAAGGTAGAGAAACTGCAATGAGTCTATTAAAATATGCAGCATTCACATTTATCCATAGACTAGACTTTTTCAGTACTTTTCAACCAGATCCTACCCAGCCCTACCAGGTGAGGTCAGGGATGGGTACCATTTTTCAGTTAAAATTGTCACTATTACTCATTTAGCACCAATGTTAGGATTCCTTATTTATTATTTTAATAAAGTCAAGAGACATTTATCAATGCCAGTAAATTTTAGGAAGGCTCATGATAATTCTGTGAGCCAACAAGAATTCTTAAAGCTTGAATTCTGTTTAAACCTAGTAATTACAAATCTGGTGCTTGCATGGACCCCAGGAGGACTTCCACCATTTGTCCCGGACTGCAGAGCTTAAAAAACATCACCCTGTTCATGTCTCTTCACAGGACACATAGGGTGACAAACTAAAAAACACATTTTTTAAGTTTATTTATTTTTTAGTAATCTCTACACCCAATACAGGACTTGAGCTCATGGCCCGGAGACCAAGAGTCACATGCTCCTCCAACCCAGCCAACCAGGCACCCCTAGAAAACACATTTTCTTACCATAACTTTGTGCTTTATTTTTTTAATCTTAAAAAAAAAAAAAAAGAAAATATTAGTATTATCTGATAACAGTAATTTCCAAAATTATTAAATATTGAGGTGACCCGGCATGAGCTTTATGTTGCCTTTCTGTAGAACGTGGCAGGCAGTTTATAAAATAATCTCTCCTGTAAACTGAATTTTGTTGAATCCAGGGAGCTTTAGTTAACAGTGGCGTATTTAGCTTTGTCTTTATTTATTCATGATGTAATTTGGATACTAAGATTAGTGGCATGCTCTGTTGTAACCTATCACAGAATTTAGATATCTGGAGAAGCCTAATTCCAGAATGCAAAACAAACAGGCTCCTCGTCTCTCCCTCCTCCAGCCCTCCCATGGTGTGCAGAAGAAATATTCTCCGGGTGATACCTGAAAATGCTGTGTTTGTTGTTTTTTGTTTTTTTAAGATTTTATTTATTTGACAGAGAGAGACACAGCGAGAGAGGGAACACAAGCAGG